AGTCCTTATTTTACATTATTTCATTTAACCCTTACAACCATCTCCCATGGTTAGTAGAACTCACTCAGTTTTACACATAAGGAAACTAAAGCTCAAAGAGTTGAAACAACTTGCCTTGGATCAATCAGTAAGTAGAGTAGCCGGGACTCGAACCTGGGTCTGTCCAACACCAGAGTCTGAATCGCCTCCCTTGTCACTTGGTCTCCCTGAGCCTCAGCTCGTCATCTGACAGTGGGGAGAATATTGCCTGCCTAGAGGGGCTCTGGGGAGGATAGGCGATCACATTTGTGGAGGTAAGCAGAGCTGGGCCCACAGTTGGTGCTGAACCAGTGAATGTTCCCAGCTTTCCCCTCTGTGCCTCTGTTCTCTCCATCCATGCAGCTATGGAATGGGGAGGATCATAGGAGCCTTGGCAGGTGGCTACAGGCAGAGCCCACATACCCTCAAGGCCCCTGCCATATCTCAAGATTCTGGCTCTGATTGAGGTACTGCTCTGCCAGGGTACATACACCCTCATCCCAGACCGGCACCTCTTCTCCACCTGCTTCTATCTCTCGGTCCACCCCCATCAGGGCACCCTGGCCCAGCTGCCTGTGGCACAGCTCTGGGAATGAAGGTGGGGGGACAAAGCTGGGCCAACATGCATGAGTATGGCAGTGCACGGGCACACATACTGAGGTACCCTGATAAACACTGGAGTGAGGAGAGTGTACTGACAGGGGCCCATTGTACCCCCGTGCCCAGAAACCCTTGTTCTTATCCCCATTGGATCATGTCTCTAACTCAACCTCTGCCCCCTGAATGCATGCTGGCCCTGCCTTCAAGGAACTCACAGACCCTCAGCCTAAAGGGAGGGAGAGAAGGCAATGATGATGCAGTGAAAACCTCACTAACCCACCAAGCCCAGGGCTATGACGGAGGAGCAGCAAAGAGCAAGGGAGCACAGAGCAAGAAGGGGTGGGGGAGGAGGGAAGGCTTCTCAGAGGTGATGGTGCTTGAGTGACATGAGGTGATGTTTGCTAGGTGAACAAATGAGGGAAAGACGTTCCAGGCAGAGGGAACAGCTCAAGCAAAGTCCTGAAGGCATGGAAGTTCCTGACACATTCAGAGAGAGGCAGTCACTCCCAGGTGGCTACCGCATGACATATGAAGATCCCAGCCTTTTGAAAAATGTATGAATTAAATTGTCAGGGAGTTGGAAGGGAAGGTGTCCCAGGAGGGGTAGAGCCTGAACAAAGGCAGGGGGGCGGGAGCGACTGTGCTGGCCCAGACAGCAGTATGCAGACCCTTGGGGGAGAAGATGATATACCGATCTCCAGAGTCTGGTGGACTCTCACAAACTCAGAAAAATCACGCAGCACACGAGGAGTTATTGCCCCTCTGCCTCAGATGTCCACCCGTCCTGCACAGGCCAGAGAGGAACAAAGGGACGAGCTGGATGCCGAAAGGAAGCCCCACTCTGCAGTCGAGGCTCCTCTCCTTCACGTCGGGGTGAACTTGGCACGAGGCCATTGCAGGAGAGCAAGGGCGGGGGGGACTTGTGGCCTATTCACTCCCCAAACAGGATTTCCTTCTGGTTTTGATGCATGGGAAAGGCACCACATCTGGAAGTAGGAAGCAGAACAGCCTCTAAAACCCAGCTGCGGGCGGCTTGCCTTGGACGAGCCCCAGCAGAGCACAGCCCACAATTGTGGCCAGGTCTTTGAGGGGAAGGTGAGGGCAGCTCACTATCTCTGGATTCTCATTCTCACGTGTGTCAAGCAGCTCTGCTGTGCTCTCCATGCCACCCCACCCCCTCTGCCCTGGCTCAGTGACCCTCATCTATAAGTGCCTTTCTCAACTGACCCCCCCATCTCTTCTCCCAGTAGCCAGACAAGTCTTCCTAGAGTGCTTATCTGACCCTGTACCTTCCCTTTTTAAGACCCTGCCATAGCCACCACTGGAATCCAGACTCCTCAGCCTGTCATCTGAGCCCCACTGTTTGGCCTCTAGCTAGACAATGAATAAGGAAGACCGCGGAAGAACTGATGCATTTAAATTGTGGTGTTGGCAAAGAATATTGATATATATTGAATATACTGCCAGAAGAACGAACAAATCTGTGCATGAAGAAGTGCAGCCAGAAGGTTCCTGGAGACAAGAATGGCCACACTTCGTCTTACCTGCTTTGATCATGTTGTCAGAAGGGACCAGTCCCTGGAGTAGGATATCAATGCTTGGTACAGTGGAGGGGCAGAGAGAAAGGGAAAGATCCCTCAATGAGATGGATTGACACAGTGGCTGCAAGGATAGGCTCAAGCATAGCAAGGGCCGTGAGGATAGCACAGGACCAGGCAGGGTTTTGTTCTATTGTACACAGCATCACTATGAACCAGAGCCAACTTGACGGCACCTAGCATTTGGCCTCTGACTTCCCTGCAGAGTCCTCCACCACTAGAGCCCCACCCCCAACATTTCTTCTGTACTCAGATAGGGGTCCCACTAGCTCCCAGGGAATTTGTGTCTTTCCCACTTGCGAGCCTGAGAGCCTGCCTTCCCTTGGCCTTCCGTACTGCCCTGCTGTCTTCTTTGGAAATCCTAGTCATTGTGTGAGACTCAGGTTGATCAGTGACTGAATGAAGTGAATGGGTCAGTGTTGGCACAGCTGGCCGTGTATGCCTGCCACACCACCTCCACTTCTCTCCAAACTTGGCATCATCATCCCCCCTCTGGGCTGGGCCCTCCTCTGTGCTGCCAAAGCCCTGAGTCTCCCTCCACTCTAGCTCTGAATGCACAGTTTGGTGATGGTGATTTATGTGCATGTCTCCCTTCTGAGCTCTGCCCACAGTCCTCACCAGGCATCCACCCATAAACTCACTCACAGATAACCAGTAAGTATCCAGTTGCCCATCGGGTCAGTTATGACTCATGGCAATCCCATCCATGTGTGTCAGACTAGAGCTGCACGCATAGGGTTTTCAGTGATTGATTTTTCAGAAGTAGGCTGCCACGCCTTTCTTCTGAGGCACTTCTGGGTAGACTCAAACCACCAGTCTTTAGGTTAGCAGCTGAAAGTGTTAACCATTTGCACCACACATAAAGTACCTTTGAAACTGAGGTGGAGGGGGTATGCAAAAAGGAAACCAGTGTCCAGCTCAGAAGAAGGAGGTTGAGTGTTCTAGCTGTGGGCACGTATGTGGGAACCCATCTGACTCGATTCCCTGCAGATGAAGCCCAGAGAAAGGGTGTGAGGGAGAAGCCTCTGTTCATCATGGGCTGCCTGCTACTGGGAGCCCAGGCCAGCCCCTTGTTGAGAGGGGTGGGATGATCTGGCTCGGGGCGGTGAGTGGTCAGATGGTCCTAATCCAGCTTGGATGCTCACTGTTGGCACCTTAACCTGTGCCTGGAGGATGCATCTGGTGGCTCAGGACCTGCCTCCTTTGGTTTCATCTTCCTCAAGGGTCACCTCTGCCTACACACCTGTCCCAGGGAGGGCAGTAAGGTATAGCACACCCACCTGGGCTTTGCCACCAAACTTAGCTTGCGTCCTGTCTTTGCCATATGCTAGCCTTGTGACCTTGGGCAGGTCACTTCACCACACGGGGCCTCCATCGATTGATCCATGAAATGGGGACATTGATGCCACGTACAGGGTGGTTGTGAGGTTGAACACTCAGCACCATACCTGACACAGCAGCTGTCAGTCGACATGCATACTGCCTGAACCTTGCCTGGTTGTGTGGCACGGTCCAACAGTGAGGAGAAGCAGGAAGGAGCAGCCCATTGCACTAAGAGGTAGGAGTCAGCTGCCTCCACCCATCAGGCAACATCTGAGCTTTGAAGGCTGAGGGAGAATTTAGTGAATGGCTGTGAAAGGGAGGGCTTTCTTTGCTGAGTGACTTTCATGAACCAGGCTGGAGCTTGCACGGCTGACTCCTAAGGCTGTTACTGGAGTATGAGGTGGGAACAGGGAGGCAGGAAGGTGTGGCAGAGGTTGCAGGGCTTGAATGCTAGATTAAGTGGAGAATGACAGGATCCGATGTTTATGTCAGAAGACTTCTTCTGCATGCTGGTGGAGAACAGGGAGGCAGGAAGGAAGTTGGAGGATTCTCCAGGGAGAGAAGTCGGAGCTGGGCAGAGACTGCAGGGATGAAGAGGCCTGGGGCCACAGGAGGAGGGTCTGCGCAGGCAGAGGCTCTTTCTCTGACTCCATTCCCACTGTGATTCATTTCTTGCTCTCTGTACCACTCCCCCCACTAGACTGGGGCGTCACATGTCTCTGCTGTGTCCTGCTATACCTCACTCCTCAGCACAGCACCTGGTATGTGGTGGGCATCAGACAGCTGCATGACCGATGAGAACTCAAAGGAGACCCTTTGGTTTACAAAGGTCCTCTGTTTCTGACATTAATCGGCGTTAATGCTATACTCTGGATGAACACAACCCATTGACATTCACAGTTTTCTGCCCCATGAGATCCTCAATATCAGCCCTGAGACATGGCCACACAGCCTGAAGTGTGCAGACATGGCCATTAGGCAGAGAGGTCAAGGCCATTACCCAAAGCCTCACTAGGACAGAACCTGACTCAAATGCAGGCTTTTGTGTTCCAAGCCCTGCTCTCTCTGCACTACGATGTGGCACCTGTCCTCACGTCTATTCAGGCTGTAATGCTGTCAAGAAGCATGTAGTGTCCAGGTGGCATTGGGAAGGGGATCCTATTAGATCCAGAAATGAAAAACCGCTTTTCTTCTTCAGCCCAAGTGGTCCATTGCAAGTCAGAGAAGATTTTTTTTTTTTCCTAGAAACTACCAGGGCTTCCCAGCTACAGAGTCTGGGTCTGAGCAGTTCAGGGGGAGCGGAACCAGAGAATCTATAGGCCTCAGGCAGGACCAGGTGGGGTAGAGGATGCTAGGAGCCAAGTAGGCTTGATCCTCTGGCCACAGCCCAGGGGACAATTCCAGACTGGGTGGTGGGCCTTACAGGGGCTGCCGACCACCCCTCACCAGCCTCTCCTGCAGTTTGAGGGCTGCAGCAAGGCCTTCTCGCGGCTGGAGAACCTCAAGATCCACCTGAGGAGCCACACGGGCGAGAAACCATATCTGTGCCAGCACCCAGGTTGTCAGAAGGCCTTCAGCAACTCCAGTGACCGCGCCAAGCACCAACGCACCCACCTTGACACGGTAGGCCTAGGGGGCGGAGACTGGGGGTGGGAGAAGGGGGGGATGTGCACCTACTCCCCCATTTGTCTAATGCACAGCTGGAGCCATTGTCCATGCAGAACCCCTCCCATTAGACCTGTAGACCTCCTTCAGACCTAGTGACATTTGGAACCAGATAATTCATGAGGCAGGGGAGGAAGGGAGGAACAGGGGTGTCTGCCTTGTGCATTGTAGGGTATTTAGCATCAGCCCTGGCCTCTGTTTACTAGATGCCAGTAGCACCCTACTCCCAATCATGACAGCCAAAACTGTCTTTGGACATTGCCAAATGCCCTGTGGTGTCCCCTGGGGGGGATATTTACCCCAATTGAGAGCCAGTGCTTTAGCCTGTGGGTACCAGCCCACCCCTAGCCCAGGCTCTGGCATCCTTGCGTATCCCCATGGAGGGAATGGGCTCACTGTCCTGTCAGCCGTATCTGGAGCAGCCACTTCCTGCTGTCCACCTCCTCAGCCTCAATTCATGGAGACAGCCCAGAGTCTGTCCATGACCTACTGTGGTTGTCCCTTGAACACTGATTGAGGCAGTGACTAAGACTCCCAGGCCTAGGAATAGTGGTCTGGGCCTTCCAGAAGCCTGTGTCTCTCTCTACCTCCCTTCCCTTATTTGTGGCGGGCACTGTCACAGCCACAGCATTATCACAGCATAGGTGTAAGCCTTCCCCTCTCGTGCATATAGACGTTAACATTTAAAGCACTTCCTAACACGTTATCTCTGATTTCATACCAGCCCTGCCAATCAGGGCCTTAGGAATCTATCTGACAGATGAGGGAAGCAGGGTGCAGGGAGGTTCAGTGCTTGCTCCCGGTCACACAGCTGGAAGGTGGCAGAGCTGACTCAAACCTGGGCCTCTACACCAGTCTTAACCAGTCTCCTTTGCGGGTGTGCTGCAGGACCCAGCCCCTGTGTGCAGCAGGAGACCAGGGTCTGCAGCAGAATCCATGTCTGGGCCCCAAGCTCTCCCTGCAGATGTTTGGGGATCTCTGAGGGTGAAAGGCCATTCAGCCCAGGCTGACAAGTATACAGATGAGGAAACAGAAGTCCAACAGAGGGGGACTGACCTGCATAGAGTAGGGGAAGTTATGCCCATTTTACAGGCAGAGAAACAGAGACTCAGATTGATGAAGTCATTCGCCCCTGTTATGGAGCTGGGATGGGAACCAGGGTATGACTTCCAGTGCTCTTTGCTGAAAAAGCAGATGTGTTAGCCACCCCAGAAGGTAGGGCTGAGGAAAGGGGGCCAGAGTGGGAAGGGAAGAGCCCTATCCCCAGCCTGGAACTGGCTCCTCTCTCCACCCATCCCCACTGTCATACACTGTGCTGGGGACATGAAGTGAGGAGTTATTCTAAGAAATCCTCCCCTTCCTTACCTCTTCACAAGGTTAGGCCTTGGTGTGCTGGGACCCCAGTCCAGACCCTGAGAGACACCTGTGGTTAGGTCACCCAGATGCCACAGGCAGCACCAGTACACTAAGCCTCTCCTCACCCCCATGCCATCTCTCCTGGGCCTGGGGATGCTCTCTGTGGGCCTCTCTGGGTCACCTGCCCTGACTTAGTCCTTTCCCCTCCCTCCTCACTGCATTTCCTGGACCCAACCCCAAAGCAACAGTCCTCTGGCCCCACTTGGTATATGAACAGGGCCCCAAGGACTAGGTTGGATCAGACTCAGAATGAGCCTGCAGAATCATCTCAGGCCTTCTTCTCTCCCAGAGGTCCCGGGCCCCACGAAGCCTGGGATGTGCAGCAGCCAAGCTCAGCACCCCGCTCGAGCCCCCACATAAACACTAGCAGGCAGCTCCATGGTGCTGGGTTGTTTTCCCAGCACCACACTCAGAGGGCTGGTGAATCAGGTTCTATGCATGGCGGAGCCTTGTTTTCCAGAGGGAAACCAGCTATGGCCCCACATCATCTCTGATACCAAGAACCATGGGTTCTGTCCATGGGCAGGCAAGTTTAGCTGAGGAGACTATGAAGGGACCCAGGCCTGAGTCTACTCCTGACCCGCCCCCCTGGTCAGGGAGATCTGAGTATAGCCACTGAGCATCTCTGGGCTTTGGTTTACCTCAGAGGTAAAGTAAAGCACCTCCCTCACAAGAGGGAGATGGGAGGATCAGTTGATATGCCACATGGAAAGGCCCAGTATGTAGTCTGCACAGCAAAGATGAGTCCTCACTTTTCTAATCCAGTTACTCACCAAACCTTACCAGGCGCTTGAGTGTGAGATTCAAATCCCGACTGCCACAGACTTCCTGTGTGAACTTGAAGATGCTACTGGGGCCTCAGTTTTCCCTTCACAAGATGAGGGGGGTGGTTACAGTCTCTCCTTTACCACTTCACTGGACCACTCAGGCTGCATATGGGAGGAAGCCACCCAAGCAGTGTTGTGCATACACTCTTACTGGCTATGGGGCCTTGGGCAAAGCACTCAGCCTCAATTTTCCTCATCTGCAAAGTGGGCATGATTCTCAGGGGTGGAGATGAGACTCCAAGGAGCTCATGGAGGGAAAGTGCCCAGCAAAGGCCTGCACAGAGGAGGCCTTCCCTCAATGAGGCGCTATCCTCTGAGCACCGCTGTGTGAGCCGCAGTACACCGTTCTCACAGAACTGTGGTGTTATTCTTGTTTTTAACGCTGATAAAGCAGCCCTGGCTTTGGAGCCTGTGCAGGAACTCCAGCTTGGGCTTTGGCTGCTGGCTTGAGACAGGCACAGGGTTTCCTGAGGGCTCACAGGGCAACTGGGCCTAAGGAATGTTCTGTACACATGAGGCCCTAGAAAATCAAACATGGGGATAGGCCTTCCCTTCCTCTTTCCAGGCAAGTGTGTCTGTTCAGGGAGCTCTGTTTGTTTGCATTTTGACAAAAGCATGTGGATTTGTATCGGTATCCCCAAGGGATGGGGCCTGGGGCCTGGCTCAGATTGGGGCAGGCCCCAGGGCAAGGAGGGAATGACTGTGCATGTATGTGTTGGGGGTGGGAGTCAGGGCCCATAAGAGAGGGGCTATGTGTGTCTGTGTATGTGAGAGACTGTGTGGGAGACTCTGTGTGTGTGTGTGTGAGAGAGAGAGACTGTGTGACTGTGTGTTTGTCACTGTGTATGTATGTGTGACTGTATGTATGTAACTGTGTATAAGACTTTGTATATGCGTGACTGTGTGTTGTGACAGTGTGAGACTGCATGTGTATCTCTGTATGTGACTGTGTGTGTGTGTGATAATGTGTATGTGTATGCGTGAGACTGTGCATGTGACTGTATGTATGACTGTGTGTATGTGATTGTATGTATATGTGTGTGCATATATATGTCTGTGTGTGTAAGATTGTGTGTGTGTGAATCTGTGTGTGTGACTGTGTGAGACTCTGCATGTGACTCTGTGTGTGTGATTGTATGTATGTGACTCGGTGTGTGTGAGATTCTGCAAGTGTGTGACTCAGTGTATGTGAGACCGTGTGATTGGTCTGGGTGGTGGGTCTGTTCACACCTTCCACCCCTCCTGCCTCAAGGCGTCCTATCAGCATTGTAAACTTCTCATTGGTCTGTCTCTCTCTTTTTGCTCTCCTCCATTTCTTTAACCTGGCAACTCTCCATGGCAGCACCAAGGTATGGTCTTCTCTTTCTGCTTCTCCCACAAAGTCCCTGGGCCATGAGCACCTCTCCTTGGGTCTGAAGTCAGACTGGTCACACCTTGGTCCAGCAGGGCCAGAGGTGCCTTGAGGTTTGGGAGCAATTCTACGTGGGCATGTCTGACAGGGGCACAGCAGCCCCTGGTACTTAAATCCAAATGGTGTCAGTTCCTCCAGGCATTCCCTCATCCCCTGCCATTCTAGGAGTCCAGAGAGTCCTGAGAAATGAGAACTCCTAGATGTGTTCAAAAAAAGCAAGTTTTATAAATGTTAAACCCCAGTGCCAGCTGGCATTCCCAAGCAGGTAATCAGAATTCAGTTAGAGTTGCGGGTCAGGCCCTGAGTCAGAGAGTTCCCCTCCCTACCTGGTAGAGAGGAGGGACACCTAAACAGACCCAGCAGGACAGGGTGGACAGCCAGAAGCTGCAGCCCAGGAAGGTGGGAAGAGGGATTGGTGCACGGCTTGGAGAGGACGTAACACGGCTGAGTGGGAAAGGTGGGGAGGGATGAGTGAGTTGCAGAGGGAGAGACACTGGGAACAGTGTATACAAGAGTCAGGAGGCCTGTGAGCTCAAGGGGAGGAAGGTGGATAGTGGCAGGAGGAGCAGGAGGGGTGAAGACTTAAGCAGGGCCTGAGACAGGCCTGGTGATGTACTTCTCAAAAGTCACAGCCTTGAAAACCCTATGGAGCAATTTTACTGCACATGTAGGGTCGCCTTGAGTCATAATCAAGTCCACTGTACCCAACAAGACTAGACTAGACAAGGCCTGTGTCCTGAGGGCACAGGGAACAGGGATGTGGCCAGACCTATGAGAAAGGCTATGAGTGTGAGGGGAGAAATCAGAGCCCTAACAGCAAGGTGCAGCCAGGGCAGGGATCCAGGGAGGAGAGGCAGTGGGCATGGATTTAGAGCCCACCTTCCCATTTTGAAGGAGCTCTGGTGGTGCAGTCTCTAAGGCATTTGACTGCTAACCAGAAGGCTGGCAGTTCAAACCCACCAGCCACTCCGTGGAAGGAAGACTGGGCAATCTACCGTAAAGATTTACCTCCTTGGAAACCCAATGGGGGTCACTGTGAGTCAGAATTGACTCAATGGCAGTGGGTTTGGTTTTGGTTTTGGCTTTGGTTCCTTTCAAGATTAGCAGTGTAGGCCCCAAGGGAAGGCACTTGCCCAAAGCCCACAGGGCGGAACCTGTGTTCTCTGAGATCCAGTTCCCTTCTGGCCTCCCGTAGTTGTTGGGAGGAGGACCTGGGTTCTCTCATGGCCCAGAGAGCAGTCTGGGGACACTGGGCCCAATTGCAAGGTGTAGTCTACCCCTTTCAGCCTGGGGTCACCCTGCACTCCCAGCCTGGGGTCACCCCACACTCCCAGCATGCCCTGTATTTGTGCCTCTCTAATCCCCTCTCCTTCTCTCAGGAAGCCTCACCTTACTCCTTGTCCACGGGCCACTGCTTTGCAGCTATGGGCTACAGAGTATTCTTATCTCAGAACCAAACAGTATCAGAGCTGGAAGATTCCTTATACCTCAGGTGGCACCATTTTGCAGAGGAGAACATGACGCTCAGAGAGGGGCAGTCCCAGAGTGATGGTAGAATGGAGACACAAACTCCCCACTTCACTCACAGAGCTGGCACCTTCCCCACACCTGTGGACAGGGCTGGCGAGTCAGACCCTCCGCCAGGGGCACCAGAGAGAGGAATAGGACCTGAGCCTGCAACCTGCCCCGGCTCGCCCAGTCTTCCCTTCCACCGTATGTCACACAGCGGCGCTAAGCAGGTGAGAGCTGCCTGGCCCTTCACTCATCCTGCCTCTGCCATTACAGAAACCATATGCCTGTCAGATCCCTGGTTGCTCCAAGCGCTATACGGACCCCAGCTCTCTCCGCAAGCATGTGAAGGCCCATTCAGCCAAAGAGCAGCAGGTGCGTAAAAAGGTAAGACGGCCTCCGTGCCGCACCCATCTCTGCAGACACCGCCGGCTGCCCATGAGCATATCTGGCTGTCAGGCCGGATACCCACACTGTCTGTGCATATTCACCATCCACACACCCATGGGGCCGCTCTCTGTCCATCTGCCCATCTATCTTCCCAAACATTCACTGAGAGTACCCACAGCCCTTACTTCCTAACCCCCAGTCAGCTGTACATCACGTACCGACATACCACCCAGCAGCTCATCACCCACTCACCAAGGCTGGTTCTGAAAACATCTGAGGTCAGGCTGTGTGAGGCATGGAGGATGCAAAAATGGAAAAACATGGTCCCAACCTTCCATGGCCTGGTGGGTGAGAGAGATGAAGAGATAAGTCAACATAATATAATAAAGACTGCAGTAGAGATGTGCAGAGAATAGCCAAGGCTATAAATAAGAGGTCCTGAGCTCATCTCGGGTAGGAGCAGGGGTTCTGTGGAAGAAGTGACACTGGAGATCATAGGGCACAGTGATTAGAAGCATAAGCTCTGAAGCCAGCTGCCAGGGTCACTTCCTGGCTGCACCACTATGAGCTCTGTGGCCTTGGGCAGATTTCTTAATGCCTTTGTACTTAATATTCCTTGGCTGTGCATTGGGAGCAATAAAGGACTTGCCTTAAAAGTTGTTGTGAGGATTGAATGAGTAAATATGCATGAAGGGTTTAGAACAGCATTTGGCACAAACTATAAGTTCAAAACAGAGATAAGTATATGTTTTCATTAAGTTTTGAGGAAGGAGTAAATAGGGGTCAGGTGAAGACAGGTAAAAAGAGTGTATCCCAGAGAGTGACTGGTGTTAGGCAGAGACCCCAGTGTGAAGAAGGCCCAGCAGACTGGCGCCCTCTTTCTGGAGGCTGAGCAGAAGCCAGGAGCAGAGGCAGTATGGGCAGGACAAGTTACAACTCTCTAGGAGTCCTGCTGAGGAGTTTGGGCTTTGTCCTGAGGACAGCGGGGTGCCATCTAATGCAGAGAAAGAACATTCCACCCTGAACTTCAGAAAGACAGCACTGGGGGACGTGTGGAGAATGGGTTGGGATTGGTGAGGGGGATCCAAGGCAGGGAGGCAAACAAGTTCAATGATGAGACTTGACCTGGGGCATAGTGAGTGGTGAGAGTGGAGGGTCTGGGCTTAATGACCACTGAGTAGAACAAGAGGAGCCACAAGGAGCCTAGGTTGAGGTCCCAATGTCAGACTGGGTGGGAGGGCTGGACAGGGGTGCCCTTCACCAGGACAGAGAACCCAAGAAAGAAGCAGGTTTGCAGGAGGCAGTTGTGGGTTCTGTATGGACAAGGAGTCTGTGAGCTGCTGGGGGAGCCAGGCTACAGCAGGAAGGGCAGGACTGAAAGTTGGGACGGAGCCTATACATCTGGGTTTAACCCAGAGGGCCACTGAGGCATGGAAGTGGGGTTACTCAAGTGCCAGGGAGGATGTGGGATGGAGAGAAACATGGCAGAGACAGACAGAGGGGAAAGAGTCCATTAAGTCCTGCAAGATTTATTGAGCACCTGCTATATTCCAAGCGCTGTTCTAAGTCATGAATAAAACGGCACAAAGGCCAGAGGCTGGGGAAAGCAGTCTAGCTTTGGTCCCACAGGGATGGAGTATACAGAGATGAGGCACTAGGAGCAAGCAGGCACTTAGTGGAAAGACAGTGAGAGGGATAGCCAGGCTTAGGACTTCAGTCTTCATTCCACAGGCAACGGGGAGCCATTGGAAGCTATCGAGCAGAGGCAAGGCATGACCACAGCCTGCACCAGGAGCTCTCTGGTTAAAACACCACCTCGACATTCACCCTGAGAAGGAGGGTCTTGAGCCTTAACCAAGTGTCCTTGTGGCTCAGGCATTGCACTCAGTGGCTTGTAGATGGCATTTTGTTCCCTCCTCACCATAAACCTAAGAAAGGAGCTCTGGTAGCACAGTGGTTAAGCATTCAGTTGCTAACTGAAAGGTTGGAGGTTTGAACCCAGCCAGTGGCTCCAGGGGAGAAAACCTTGGCAATCTGCTCCTGTAAAGAGTACCGCCAAGAAAGCCCTGTAGGGCAGCTCTACTCTGTCACTTGGGGTCAGTGAGTTGGAATTCGCTCAGTGGCACCCAACAACAACATAACCCTAGGAAGTGGGAACTCTTTTTATTCCCATGTTAGAGATATGGAAACCGAGGCTCAGAGAGATGAGAAACCTACCCAGGGTCCTGCAGCCTGGACGTGACAGTGCGAGATCCCATCCCAGGCCTGTCTGTCCCCAGGCCCTGAGCTCTTTCTACTACTCTCAGGCTGAGGGGCCTGAACGGGGAAGGAATGGCCCAAGTTCCGGTCTGTGGGGCTCTGTGCCAGGGAGGCTTCTGTCCCGAGCAGACTGGTGCCCAAGGACCAGAATCCTGCCTTGGTTTTCCCAGGCCCCGTGCTTGGCTCACACTGAGCCCTGAAGACCTGGGGCTGCAGATCTGCAAACTTCCCAACAATAAGCATCCATTACAAGCCATCAGGGATGATGTATCTTTCTGGGTAAAGCGACCCTTGTATTATGACAACTCCTTGGCAGCCCTGCTGCGTTTCAGAGAGAATTAGAAATGCTTTTCTTCCTTAATTCTCCTCTCCTGCCGCTCCTAATCCGATTGACATTGCGGTCTGCAAGAACATGCCTTGGCCTTCTTTTGCCAGAAACTTAATTTACATGGAAAACAGCTGCTGGGTCAGGGAGCTGAGAGCCCACGAGAGGATAAGTATGCCTTTCCTGAGCTGGGTCCTGGGCCTGCTGGCCTGGGAGGGTGGAAAAACCCTTGGGGCTAACTCTCAACTGCTGTGTGACATGGAACAAGGCTCTTTCCTTCTCTGGGACTGTTTTGTCCTGGGTGAAATGAGGGTTTGGATAAGTCAATCTCATGGGCCTCCAACTCTTATAGTCAAGCTTTGGGATTTCTCTGGTAGAAGGGGCCCTTTCCATCTAGTTTGTTCTCCTGCATCACCCAGATGTCCTGGGGCCCCAGCCAGCCCCTTCCTGTCCCCATCCTGGCCCTATGTGGAGAGATGAAGACATCCTGAGATGACTCAGAGCTCAAGTCTGTCTTTGAAGACAGCAAAGGTTGTTCTGACCAAAGCTCTGCCCTCCTTTGGGTTTCTGGACCTTGTCCCAGCCCAGGCCTGCTCAGGTCCACATACCAGCCATTGGTCCCCACCTGTTGTGTGCCCATATGGGGCTTGGCTAGCTGGAGGTCAGCCAGCCATTCACAAAGCACATTCACTAAGCACATTCACACCCATCATTCCATTATTCCTCACAGCCTGGGGTGAGGTGTGAATATTATGGCTTTCCACAGATATGGGAGAGAGGTTAAGATTTGTTCAGTGTTACATGGAGTAAGAAGAGATGGAGTAAGATTTGAACCCAGGTCTTCTGGCTCTAGCCCTAGACTGTTTTCACTGTAGCACGTGCCAGGAAGGGAGCAACAGGATGACGTTTACTGAACACCTACTCTGTGCCAGGCTCTGTGCTAAGTGTTTCATTCCCACTACCTTCCCAGTTCACCTTGGTGGTAGCCACAGGAATGTTACCAACTACTGGAGGCCCCATCTCAGCATTTGTGCTGAGGCCACACCTCCATGGGCTGCTCCCAGCCAGTGACTGAGCTGAGCAGGCCCAGAAGGGATACTGAGGCAGACCCCTCCCTAGGAAACATGGGACCCCTCTGACTTTGAGCTGACTTTTGCTCTCTCAAGAGCCCTGAAGGCTTGGCCAAACCCTCCTTATGTTGCACGGTAGTCTAAGAAGTTTCTCTCCCTCCCTCCTTCACTGGGGGTCAGACTTGCATGGGTCTGACAGCTCCTTCAGCTTGCCTGGCTCTCCCCCTGTTTCATCTCACACAGGCACTTCCCCTCATAAAATCCATGCATGTTTAATCCAGTCTTGGCATCTGCTGTTCATGCCCCTGGACTAATACAGCCTTCACAATGTACAGTGAGTTAGACTTCATTAGCCCCATTTTACAGATAGGAAACTGGGGCACAGTGTGGTGAAGGGTCTTGCCCTGGGACTACTGTCCTTCCTGCCCTATTGTCTAAAGCGAGAACTTCCGGTGCACAGGCAGCATTGTGTTAACTCCCACCCCTCTCTGCTTGCTCCCCCAGTTGCACACAGGCTCCGACCCTGAGGCCGACGTCCTGACCGAGTGCCTGGGCCTACAGCAGCTCCACGCATCCACACAGCTGGCTGCCAGTGATGGGAAGGGTGGCCGCACCGTTGGCCAGGAGCTTCTCCCAGGTATGCATTTGGGAAGGCAGGACCAGGGGCACAGCCCAGGAGGGCCCTTCACTGCTGAGCATCCCTGGAGGAAGATGATGACACTCTCTGGGCCCAGGGTCACCAGGTACCCACCAGACTGCCACAGGGCACAGCTTGCTGAAGGACACCCACTCCTCTGGATTTCATTGCTTCTCTGCCTCTGGCTCCATCTCTAACTCACCCTCTCTGCAACTCACCACTAGGTGGACCCTCCTTAAGACTCTCAGGGCTCCCCATGGCCCATGGCATAAAGTTCAGTTTCCTCTCTGCCTGGCCTCCAAAGACCTTGGCGCCTGGGCCTTCCTGGCAGCCTCTTGCCCCAGCCTTAGCACACCAGACGCAGTTTCCTCAGTACCTGGCAGTGCACATGCTTTGCCAGCCTCCCTGTTCATTAGCTCCTGTTGTCCTTCAGGACCCGTCTCCTTGCCCCCTCCTCCAAGAAGCCTTCCTCTGTCTTCCCTCTGCCCAAACACTGAGCATTCTGGGTTGTCACTCTGTTTCCTGCCTGTCTTCCTCCCACACCCCACACTATGAGATCTGTAAGGGCAGGGCCAGGGTCTGCCTCCTCCCCAAGTCACCAGTGCTCAGCAAGGGGACAGATGCAGAGCCTGGCTGGGGGACCATGTGAAAAGAGGCTGTGGCCCCTGAGTGTGAGGCCCAGGCCCTTCCTTCTGACCCATGCTGCCAAGATCACCTGTGGGGAAGAACTGCCTTCAGGAATAGCCTAGTATGGCCCTGACCTTGACTTGAAGGCTCCTTTAACCCTCACCATGACTCCTTGCTTCAGATGAGAAAATGGAGGCCCTCAGAGAGTACAGGACTTGGCTAAATGACTTCCAGCTCACTTCTAAACTCTATAGCCCAAAGATGGGGTCCCCTGAACCCCGGGGACTCTGCAGGCCCATCCAGCCGGACACACAAAATCTCCGGTCCAGCGCAGGCAGCCAGTCTGTCGCTCCCAGCAGCCAGGGCAGGAATTTCTGGCTGCACTGGCTGCACTGGCTGCATGGCTTGGGACTGCAGCCCAGATAAGGGCAGTGTGGCCTTTGGCTTCCACATGACGATGTTTGTGCTCTACCACCCCACCCCCCAGAAACCACAATATCAGACCGTAAAGCTCTGCACAGCCTCCGGGATTTCTTGAATTACTCCAGCCATTTTAACATTTTTTTATTTTTAAAATTTTTATTCTTTCCCTTCAATCTTGAAGCAGCAACAGATTTAAAAATACATCAAAGCACTTACAAACAGCCTCAGGAATAGAAGATATTTGCCCTTTTTCCTGGGTTCCCCCTCACAGGGGTCAAGCAGACCTACATGACTGCACCCTCCTTCCTCCAGCTCATGGGGTCCCGTCACTATGGGGTGCATCTCACTGTCCTAGAATTGCTAAAATAGCAGGGCTAGAAGGTGCTAGAAGGTAGGGGTGACCAACCCAGGGATGAAGGTCAGTATCTCCAATGCCAGCTCCCAGCAGCTGGTACTGGCTGCCTGGAGCTCTGTTGAGAAGGATTCAGAAGCTGCTTTCTGACTTAGCAGGAAAGAGAGAGTTCATTGATTAGCAGTGGCTGCCCTGGGGGCAGAGATCCTGAAGCCCCATCATTTTTACCTTGGAAGGACCATGGCCTGGGCCTGAGATGGAGAGGTCACATGGAGAGTCGGCAGCAGACCCAGGTTGGAAGTCTGTCCTCCTAGGTATCAGCTTAGGGCTTGTCCTGGGAGAAGGGGCAGGGCCAGAAGTCCCCATCTATTGAGCCTCTACTTGGGCCAATCACTTAATTTTTTTAATTAACTTATTTATTTATTTATTATTGTGATTTGAGTGAAAGTTCACAGAGCAAAATTCATTTTCCATACAGTGGTTCATATTTTGTTTCGTGACATTGACTGCCATTCCCCACAATGTAGCGGCTCTCTTCCCATTTCCTCCCCATAGTTACCTCTTCCCTGTGTCCTTCTTTCCTATGCGTCACTGCCCCCCAACCCCAGCTATCTCCCTGTGCAAATACTGCCCACAACTGATCACTCTGAGAAGTCAATCTACCTGATATAAATGTTTACCCTGTCTATTCTGGTGGCATAGTGCCTAAGGCACTTGACTGCTAACCAGAAGGTTGGCAGTTCAAACCCACCAGCCACTCTCGGAAGGAAGGTTGGGCAATCTACTTCCATAGTGATACTGCCTGGGAAACCCAAGGAGGGGTCGCTATAAGTCAGAGATGACGGCACATAACAATAACAACAACATTGTTTGGCTGGAAGCCACTGGAGTGAGTTCAGTTCCAGGCCTGCAGAGTAACTAGGGGCTGTAGTCTTGGGGGTCTCACCAGTTGGGCCAGTCACTTTACAAACGCCTCATTCAATCCACAACCACGCCGGATGGTGGAGTGTTATGTCCATGCTACCAATGAGAAACAAAGTCCAATTGAGGTGACATGGTGGACAGGAGAAACACCAGTGGTGAGCCTGCACCACCCAGGGCCTGCTGTTCTTGCTCTGTGACAGTGAGTGATTGGTGTCTTCCCTGCTTTGAGCCTCAGTTTCCCTCCCAGATCTGCTGTGAGTACAAATGCAATTATGGATGTGATCACTTATATAAACTCTCTGTGACTGATGATGTTACCATTATTGTTTTCATTGCTCATGGTGAAAGAGACATGTATCTGTTTTACTCATCCATCTCAGAATAAAGCAGTAATGAACATTTATTGAACAGGTACCAGGAACTGTTGTAGGGACTATACATGTATGTGTTAGCTAACATGATCCTCATCTTACAAGGGACATGCAATTATGCTCTTCCCTTTTACAGATGAGGAAACTGAGACCATAGGAAGTTAAATGACATTTATCTGAGATTCCACAGCCAGTACATGGCAGAGGCAATATTTGAACCTAGGCCATGTGGCTGCAGAGTCCATGCTCTCAGCCACTATAGCTACTTCCTCCCTGCTACTAATGCTGTGTCTACCCTACACTGGGGAGCTCTGGTAGCATAGTGCCTAAGGCATTTGACTGCTAACCAGAAGGATGGCGGTTCAAACCCACCAGCCAGTCCTTGGAAGGAAGGTTGGGCAATCTACTTCTGTAATGATACTGCCTTGGAAACCCAAGGAGGAGTCACTATAGGTCCGACTCAATGGCACATAATAACAACAACAACCCTACACTGAGCACTCACTGTGCTAGCCCTGTGTCAGCCCTGTCCTGGAGTTGCTTCCAAAAGGAAGGACCAGCCAGGCAAACCCAGGGGTCCCAGGTTCCCCCAGCTTCAGGCCGGCCAGGTATTTCTGCCGGCCGCACCACAGATGCTGGCAGCACAATTAAGAACAGATGTTAGGGCCAGAGGTTAAGCAACCACGGCTGATGATTGATGATGCTGATTTACAGCCTAAAGTGGTTCATTTTGGGGGAGGCCAGGCGGGCCCGTGGTGTCCCATTCCCTCTGCCCTCACCAGTATGATGATTCCTTCCTTCCCATCCACTATGCACTCACATGTTCACGCATTCTTCGTTCACTCACTCAGGCACCCACCCTGTGTTCTCAGGTGACTGTCACAGGACCAGACAAGACCAAGGGCAGTGGAAAGCAGGGGACAGAATCAAGGAGTGTTAAGGTGGAAGAGTCCAGAACAGAGGGGTGAGGGTGAGGGAAGAGCTGCTGGGGGTGACATGAGATTTGCATTGTCTAGTGACAGGAAGCTCCTGCAAGCTTGTCTCCTCAGGAGACAAGGAGGTAACCTCATAGGTTACCTTCAGGAGCATCTCCGCAAGCCCTTCTTTAACAGACCCTGGGTAATGTGATGAGCAGCGAGGACGTGAGAACCATGAGGTCAGCATGGCTGAGGGAGAGGAGTGGGATTTATCAGGATTCCAGGCCTTCCCAGCTGTCAGGCTCCCAAATTGATTCAAGATGGCAGGCAAGGAGGTGCTAGGGAAAATTGGTGAGTAGTGCAATCCATGAGCAACACTGAGCCAGGCTCCATCAGCACCCCCACCCTGGCTGTCTTCCTGACAAGCCATGGGGAGGGATGTGATGGCCAAGGGAGGCAGTGGATGGGAACAGAGGTTCCAGAGGTCAGGAGGGGTAAGGACTGGGGCCGAGAGCTAGAGGAGTCTTGAGAGTCCACTGCAGAGCCCTGGGGTCTCAGCCAGTTGATGGTGAAGCCAGCACCAGAGATGAGGTTTCTGGCCAGACGTCCAGGCCACTGCCTGAACTGCAGCCCCATGCTGCTTCCTGGGCCTCACCTCTAGTGGGCTTTCTCTTGATATCACTAGGGAGACAGGCCAGATTAGCTGCCACAGTGTGACCTTGGACAAGTCATTTAACTTCTTGAGCCTGAGTTTCTTCATCTTAAAATGAGATATAATACTATTTCCCCTCAGGTACAGTTGTTGAGATAGTTAAACTAGATTATGTGGAGACAGAGCCTGGCACATGGTAAATTCTTAATTATCAGTAACTGTTATGAACAATGCCCATTTATTGTAGAGTAGAAAGGCTTGCAATCTGAGCCTGGGTTTATCTCACCATTCAGAACCAACCATAGGGTATCTGCAGCTCTTAACTCTTTTAGGCCAGGCCCCAAAACCAAACCCACTGCTGTAGGGTTGACTCAGACTCATAGTGATGCCACAGGACAAAGTAGAATGGCCTTGTAGCGTTTCCAAGGCTATAAATCTTTATGGAAGCAGACTGTCACATCTTTCTCCCACGGAGCAGCTGGTGGCTTCAAACTATGGACATATTGGGCTGCCACCAAGTGCTTTAATCACTGCGCCACCAGGCTCCTTAACTCTAGGGCAGGTGACGCAAACTGTTCGGTCTCCTAGGCACATCATTTTTGTTTTTTAACAATTTGTGAAGGGCTCAAAGGTCCATGTTCTTTCCACTTTGCCACAGTCCCCACTGCTCTCTGTTGTTGCTCCCTGCCACTGTTTTACTCAATTCCTTAGCAACTTCCTGAATTGCAGGCCTAGGTCAGAGGGACCAGCCTGGGACAGGCTAGCTTCAGTACTGTAATCTCCTGAGAAGGTAGAACTTCCTCTTTTATCCTCATCCATGAAAGGAGCCTGGTATGTTCTCAGAATGGTCCCCAAGGGGTGATAAAGAGCATTGGATCTGGATCCATGATGGCCAGAGTGATAATTCAAAATGTAATAGCTGGTCCAGGTTGGGCACCAGCCAATCCAAGTGGCCCTGGGGCCATAGAGCCCTCCCAGGGCATCAGCTTGGATTGAAAAAAAATAATATCCATTTCTATTAACATAAGCATGACCAAATTGAAGAGGGGATGCAAAATTGGTTCCGTTGTTGTTTTTCCAGAAAAAAATGGGAAACTTAAAAAACTTGCAACCTCTATTCTGTCTGCCCTAGGCTCCAGTCCCAGGCATGGTAGGAGTTTATTCTTTACTCTGATCAGGACTCCTTAGTGAAGATGTTCGGGAAGCACTGGCTTCAGCAACTCCCACACCCTTAGTTGGTCACTGGAGCAATATCTGACTCTGACCTCTTGTCTCCCACTGATCCACTGAAAAAAACAAACTCACAGCCATTGAGTCAATTTCGACCCATAGTTGATTTCCCAGGCGGTAAATGTTTATGGAAATAGATTGCCCCATCTTCCTACCATGGAGGGCTGGTGGGTTTGAGCCACCAACCTTCTGGTTAGCAGTCAAACGCCTTAGGCACCATGCCACCAGAGCTCCTCACTGATCCATTAGCTCCCAAGTATTCTCAACAAGTGTAAAGCCCTTGGGGATTTTTGGATAAAAGGTAGTTTCACCCTGCAAGTCTTCTGTAGATTCAGAATTTGAGACTACAGCACAGCAGACTGCTCTCCTCAGGTAGGATCCTTGTGTAGTATATGACCTGTGCAACCATACATGGCAGCCCTTCTCAGAGGTCCCCTGGCCAGCCTATAACTAGCACAGGCATTCTCCCTTAAGAGTCCCTCATAGTAAACACTCAACTCAGCCTCTGCTCCCATACTTCAGAGGGGCTGGGTAGTTCATTCTCTCCGAAGACAGTTGGTTACCCTGCGGCAGCCCTGCCTGTTAGAAGGTACCTCCAAGCTCTGAGCTGGGGTCCACTTCTCTGAAGCTTCTCCCTACGCCAAGATCCCCATCTGCCCCTGGGGCCACACAGGGTAAGCCCTGCTTCCTCTTTTGCAGAACAGCCCCACAGTGGTTGGAGGAAGCCTGCTCCATACAAATCAGCAACCCCTACCTCAAGGCCAGCCCGCAACAGCTCTGGCAGTGCCTTCTCAGTCCGGCTTGCGTGTCAGGAGGCCTAGCCCTGGACTCAGCCCTGCAGCCAGGGCCTGAACAGAGCAAACTTGGACCATCGTCCCCCTTATTTGGAGCCTTAAAATTCTATTAAGACAGCCTTACTCGTTTTTCGTCTTGTCTTTCTGTAAGCAGGTACACATAGCTCCTGGCTCCTGGGTTGCCATGACCACCTCTAGGGAATGGTCAAAGCCCAGTGACATTTGTTTGCTTCTCTGCAGGCATGTATCCTGGCTCCATCACCCCCCATAACGGACTGGCATCGGGGATCCTGCCCCCCACGCATGATGTTCCTTCCAGGCACCACCCCCTGGATGCCACTGCCAGTTCCCATCACCACCTGTCCCCTCTGCCCACAGCTGAGAGCACCAGGGACGGGTATGTACACCAAGCCAGTCCTCCGGGACAGCAAGGGGCCACTCAAGTGGGAAGCAGGTGAGGGCAAAAGCCCTCTGGTTGTTTTTGATCATGAGACTATCTACTGTTCATGGGGCGGTTGCTGTGTGCTAGATGCTGCATGATTTCATTCGTACCTCACGGTAACTTAGATGGTATTGGCACTCGGGCTTCTGGATGCCTCACCCTCTTCTCCTCACTGGGGGCGCCTTGGGAAGATGCTGGTCCCACCCCTAGCCCCCACCCCCTGGATCCTGAGTTGCCGCACCCAGGCTTCTCCCTGACTGGTGCCATCCATTTGGTGAACAGACTTGCTCACTGCCTGCTCCAGAGCTGCTGGCCTGAGCCTCACCCCTATTCTGGCCACTGCAGCTGTAACTGTCACCTGGCATGCTGGCGCTGCCCAGAGAGGGTCACCACAGAGAGCCCAGGGCCTCTTCCTGCATTCAGTATGGTTCTCATTGTGACCAAGCAATTGGCTGGAAATAGTGAATGTGTTAATTGCTGGCCCCCAAGCCTGCTGGGATCTGTCTTCCTTGCAGATGAGCAGAGGGAAGCCTCGTAGCCTCACCCTCCACCCTCCCTTGCTGTCCCTGCCTCTCTCGCTTATGTACCAGGGCTTTGATCAAACTTGTCCCCCAGGAGCTTTGTTCTGCCTGGGATTAGGTCAGCCTCATCCTCAGACTCATGCCCCAGTGCTCTTAACTGGGCTTCTCCACCGCCATTCATTTAATCTCATTCATTCGTTCATTGTCCATTTTTTTAGCTCCTGGGCCAGGCAGGCCCTGAGCCCAGTGGCTGATTTCAGCCCTGGGAAAGCTCACTGTGAGAAGGAGACAACAGAGTGCAGAGATTTTCCACACAGGGGGCAAGTGCCATGACAGAAGGAAGCAGAAGGGGAGGGTGTCAGGGAGATCTTCCTGGAGGAGGCAGTGTCAGGCCAAGCCTCCAAGGTTAAGCAGGAACTGGCCAAATAGAGAGGTTGGGAGGAAGGAGCAGTGAGAGGTGAAGGTAGGTGTGAGAGCACAGTGTGTTTTGGGGAACTTGGGTCACTGTGTGGGGTGAGGAGCTGGGGAGAGGGGTTACTGAGCACAAGGGCTGTGTCAGGACCCCTGCCGTGAAGGGTGCTGGGCAGTGATATGGTCAGGTCTGGGGATAATTGCTGGATTGCTGGGGAGCAAGGTGGAATGAGAGATGCCAGGCAGCAGACAGGCCAGGTGAGTAGAGAGGCGGGAACATTCATTAGTGAAGTCGAATAGACAGGACCTAGGAGGTCCTGGGTGGCATAAGTGATTAAGTGCTCAACTGTTGGTCGAAAGGTTGGTGGTTTGAACCCATCCAGAGGTGCCTTGGAAGACAGGCCTGGCGATCTGCTTCTGAAAGGTCACAGCCTTGTAAACCCTGTAGAGCGGTTCCATTCTGCACACATGGGGTCACCATGAGTCAGGATCACCTGATGATAGCAACTAACCACAATGACAACAGCAAGATTTTGGCTGTGTGGGGAAAGAAGGTGGCGTCAGGGATGTGTCGGCCTGCAGGCACAGGCACTGACCATTCACAGAGCAGGGAAGACTATGGCTGCAAGTGTGGGTAGAGGACCCACATTGGTGAATGGAGGGAACCAAGAAAGCTGGACCCTCTCCAAGCCTCAGTTTCCTCCTCTCTAAAATGAGCATTAAAATACTTTCATATAGGGAGGTGACACATACTCGACATTGTGTCACCCACTACAATCCCTGGTCTCACCCATCTACTCCAACAGGCTGGCTTGAGCCACCTGTTCGCCTACCAGCCAGCCCCCAAACATCTCCCGACCAAAGAAAAATAAACCGCCCCGGCTGGTCTTTCCTCACTCAGGCCTGTGCGCTCTGCTGGCCTCATTCATCACCTGCCTGCTGCCTGCATAAGTGCCCCACAGGATTCCTGCAGCAAGAGGCAGAGGGGACCCCAGCCTGGCCGCAGGCCCTGCCCACGGGAGCAGGAGTGCGTCATCCCAACCATCCAGGCGCCCAGGTCCTCCAGGCTGCAGGAGAGAAGGCCCTCACGCCTGACACCAGCCCTGGGCCAGCTTAAATGGGTTTCTTTTTTCGTCCCCTGAGAACAGGGAGGTGGGGTTGGGGCCTTCAGCCTTTCCCTTTCAGCCAAAGTCAACAGGGAACGGTCCCTCATGGCCCTTAGTGGTTTGCCGGGACGTTTAAACAGTTTGACAGAATTATCTGATTCACTCAAAAATAGTCTAAGAAGGCCTGACTTTATGACCAAGTCTGTTTACGCTGGCTCAGAGAAGAAGCAGAGTAGGGGGTTTGTTCCCCAGCCCTGTGCAAGGCATGAAGCCCTCTGTCCACCAGGCCAGTGAGGTTTCACATTAATTTTTATGGGTTCCAATTGAAGCAAAAAAATATTTGATTTAGGAATCCTTTGCATGACTCAGAAGAGAGGCTCCAGATGATTTTTTTTTTCCTCTTATTTTTTCCTTTTACAGAGTTCAGGTAGAGCAGCCTTATTTCAGCCTAGTGTCTGCCACAAATAGAGCCATGTTCTGTTTGGTGTCATTGCCTGTGAAGGTGGCAAATGTGAATTTCTGGCAGGTTTGAGACAGGAAAAACAAACTCTGAAAATGCATGTTTTTTGCCCTTCAGCTCTGGTTCCCCTTAATTCTGCAATGCTGTTAATCTCTGGGTTTTGTAGCTGAGCAGTTCAGAAACCTACTTGTCAATGTTTATCAGCTGTTTGCCACGTGCCAGCCATCAGGTGACTGAGAGAGTGAGACCTGGCCTCTGTCAGGTCCCAGATGGAGGAGACCGGCAGGAAAGCTAATCAGGGACAGTGGGCTGTGAGTGCCGGGATGGGGTGGACATGAGGCAGGCACCAGACCACAGGCTCAGGGAAGGAGATTCGGCTCTCCTGGCCGTACCTCAGCCCAGCCTCAGCCAAAAGAGCTGACTGTGAGGACATATGGCTTGTGCACAGGCCTCCGCAGTTTACAGAGCACGGTCACAGATGCTGCCCAGCTTGTGATACAGGCCAAAAAATATTAATCATGATGCTAATGATAAGGAACTCGAGCCTTGATGAGTTCATTAGCATAAAGAGCCTGACTGTGTGTCTATAGTGTCAGTTGCTGGCCCAGGGGCAGGGATCCCAGCATGGAGGCCACCCTTCCCCTGCCTTCAATGAGCTCACAGTGGTTGGCAGGGGCCCCAGATGCATGGATGATAGCAGCATAATGGGGGTTGGCGACAGCAGGATGCCCAGGCTGGAAGGGGACTTAGGAGAGCTGCAGACATGGAGCCCACCAACCTCTCCCCAAATCTCCTTTTCCTGGTCGAGATAGCCCTGCTCCACTCAGCAAGAGGCACCGACCTGTCTGGTTAACATCTTGTGTCTCAGAAGGTGGGTGAGGGTAGCATGCCTAACTTGGCAGTGCAGTGCCAGCTGGAGCTGTGACACTGGATTTGTGGTAATAGATGTAGATGATGCAACAAATCCACAAATCCAAACACGAAAATGGAGACTCAGAGTGTGGACTCTCTGGCTTTCTTTCTCTCTCTCTCTCGTGCTCTCACTCTCACCCTCACTCCCCAATCCACATAAATGCTTTATGGACTGTGACCCCAAAAGCCTTCAAGCCCAACTGACCTCAGGGTCATTTTGATCTGTACACAGGACCGCAGAGGCTTAGGAAGGCAGCATGAAAAGGAAGAATGAAGAATGCCAGCTTGTGGACTTGACCCACAGTCCATTTTGCCCATCTGGGCTCAGCCAGGCTGAGGGGTGACCACACAGCTCTTGTTTCAGAGCATGAGCTTCCAGAGAGCCCAAGATTAGTCTGGCATCCCTTCATGCTCTATATGAATGGAGGTGGTGAGCTCCCCATCATAGGAGGTATGCAAGTGGAGGAGAGATGACCAGGGATGGAGACCGGAGAAGTTTCCTAAAAGTATACGGTGCAGAGGGAAGAACCCTAACTCGGACATCAGACTAGCCTGCCAGGTTTTCTTAATAATAACAATGATGATGATGTCTCATGGAGTAGCTAAGAATGTACCAAACATCATACAATGAGATTTGTGAATGGCAACTGTTAGTGCTGTGAGGTGTGTTGCTGTTAAGGAATTGTCCAGGGCCAGTGCTGGGCATCCTCTGGGAGGAGCTAGTATTTAGCCACCTAGGAGCTCTGGTAGCATAGTGGCTAAGGCACTTGACTGCTAACCAGAAGGCTGGCGGTTCAAACCCACCAGCCACTCCTCAGAAGGAAAGTTGGGCAATCCTACTTCTGTAGTGATACTGCCTCGGAAACCCAAGGAGGGGTCGCTATGAGTCAGGGCTGACTCGATGGCACATAACAACAACAACAACATACTTGGTGGCTCAGTGATAGAATTCTCACCTTCCATGCAGGAGACCTGAGTTGGATTCCCAGCCACTGCACTTATGCACAGCCACCATTTGTCTGTCAGTGGAGGCCTATGTGTTGCTATGATGCCTCACAGGTTTCAGCAGTTTCCAAACTAAGACTGATTAGGAAGAAAGGCCTGGTGATCTATTTCCAAAAAACCTGATCCACAGTTGATTACGGGGACAGTGCAAGAGAGGATAGCATTTCCCTCTATTGCCCATGGGGTCCACATGAGTTGGGGCCCACTTGAAGGCAGCTATCAGTAGTGAGAACTTCAGGGTGCCGGGTAGTGAACGCAGCAATCCTGTGAAGAAACTAAGGCTCAGAGACATGAAACAGTTCTCCCAAAACCACGTGGCCAGTGAGAGCAGATTGGGATTTGAACACATCCCAATACTAGATCAGTTTTCCTTCCCTTGGATCCTAACATTTATTTCCAGTTTGAGCATACTCAGACGTGAAAATGTCCTCTTCTAACAGCACTGTCAAAGTGAGAGCAGGTGGGCTGACGGGGTCTGAGCTCCCTGTTGCTGGAGGAGAATGAGCAGCAGAGCCCCCAGAGCCCTTCCTACTGACACCATTTCTGCTCTACAGGTTAGGGTCCAGCCTCCTCTCACCCCTAGTCAGCCCACTAAAGGGGCTTGGGCCACTGCCACTGCCACCGTCCTCCCAGAGCCACTCTCCGGGGAGCCAACCCTTCTCCACGCTCCCCAGCAAGCCTCCCTACCCATCTTTCCAGAACCCCCCTCCTGCGCCTCTGCCCAGCACACAAGGTAAGCTCTGGCCAGCAGCTTTCTCTGCAAACCTTCGACTCAGACTCAGGCACCCAACATGGGCAGGCAGGTGAGCACTCAGCAAATGACGGTGCCAGGCAGTCAGGGACTGGAGACCCAAAGGGCCTAGTCAGGGATGCATCCTGGGGAGGCTGGTTCCAAAGGATGAGGAAGTTTGTTCCACTGACAAGGCATCTAAATGCTAGAGGGGACAGTACTGATAGTGGCTGGGGGGTGGGAAAGGCTGTTATTTAGGGAACAGGGAGTGATTGGTGCAGAGGAGGGTGCTGGGTATAGTCCACAGCCCTTTCCTCAGAGCACTGATGTCAACCACTAAGGACCTAGTCAGGTGTGGCACTGACATGAGACCACCTCAACCAACCCCTCTGCTGGGGTTGTAGTGAGAGCAGGGGGATGCAGTGCAGAGCAGGGACTGGGGCCCCAACTCCCAGCACCTTCCCCCCCTTGGTGTTCCTCTTCCCTCATCAATACCCACGATGCTGGGCAGGCCACTCTGGGGGACTGAGCAGAGCCTCAGGGACACACCCCTCCCTGCTCTGGGCCTTTTCCCTTAGTTAATGCAGCCCCCCACCTCCCTCTTCAGGGTACCAGGGCAGTTTCCACTCCATCCAGAGTTCTTTCCCCTATACTGACTGCTATCGCATGGCTGAGCCAGCAGCCAGTGGGGACGGACTGGCCGGGGAGGCCCACAGTTTCAACCCCCTGCGGTCCAATGGCTACTCCAGCCTCAGTGCACCTTTACCTGCCACAGGTAAGCCCCCTGCCCGCCCCCCTTCCCTGGGCATCTACCAAGGCCCAGCCCTGTGCTGGGCACTTTATATACATCGTCTTGAATCCTTGTGACAACCCTCCTAGGGAAAGTCATCCTCACTTTACAGATGGCAAAATAGAGGCTCTGAGAGGCCCCAGGATCCACAGAACTGGGGTTTGCCCCTGCCTGACTCTAAAGTCAGTGTTCTCTCCTCAACCTCACATGACTTAAACACATCTGGACTTTGAGGTTCCTGAGCACACAGGGAAGCAGTGGACCAGGAACTCACAGTCTAAATATTTACTGAGCACCTACTGTGTACCAGGCACAGTTGTAGACCCTGGGATACAGCATGGAATGAAACAAATAATAAGCTCCATTTCATAGATGAGAACACTGAGGCTAAGAGGCCACAGTACTAGGAAGGGACAGAGGTTGGAAGCTGTGTTTATTCCTTATGCCACAGTTGTGCTTGGTGATCCCTGCAAGGCCCTAAGCCCTTCCCCATGTCATGCCCCTTGCTGGGGTGAATAAGCCCCATGAGAGGGGAGAGCTCCACACAGCCCAGTGAAATCAGGGCCAGGTCAGCAGGGGCAAGCCCTGGCCCCAGTCAGCCTCTGGGCCAGGGCCAGCTGAAGGCCACAGGGCCTGGGCAGGAGGAGGGCCCCTCAGATAAAGGGGCACCTGAGACCCTGCCCCAGAAGTCCCTTCAGACAACTCTGAGGGGGTGCAGCTGTATAGCACTAGGGCTTCAGATGGGTATACACACACCTGTGGGTACATCTGTGTGGGGGTGCATGTGTGGGGGTATGTTCATATTGACATATGTGCTCCCATGCCTGTGTATGCATTCTTTCTTTTGTCACGTGTTTGTGGGGTACATCTGTGTATGCATGTACATGTGGGGCCAGCATGGGTGAGTCCTGGGCAGTGTGAGCCCACAAATGTGTACCTGCACACGTGGACTCCCATTATGCTGTGTGGTTTCCATGCATACTCCATCTACATACATGCACACTTTGTGTGCTACCCATCGCCTGACTCGTGGCTGTCTCCACAGATGTGTGTGTGAAGACACATCTGGGCTGTTTGCAGTGAGCATGCCTGTGTGTTCGTGTGCAGGTATGCATATGTCAAGTGGACACATGCCGCATACATGCATGCTAGGCCTGATCACAGTGTGTGCATGTGCCACCTACATGGCCATGTGGCCCGTCTGGGGTTGGGTGTGTTCCATATTGCCACATATGAGGACCACTGCAAGATTAGACCCTGGGTCTAGGGGGTCTCAGCAGTGACAGCATATGCAACGGATGAGTCAGATAGCTCTAGAGTTAGACGGACGGAGGTTAAGTCCCAGCTCCTCCATTTACTATCAGTGTGACCTTAGGCAAGTGTCTTTCTCTCTCTGAGCCCATCTCATTTATAAAATGGGATCATGAATCCCACTTCATAGGACTGTTACAAGGCCTCAATGAAATGATGGCTTGATTGAGCACTTAGTGGGTGCTCAGTGAGTGTGAGTTTTCTTCTCTGGGCTTCTTATGTATGCCTGGTGGAGAGGAAGAAACTGAAGGAGTAGGGTCCCTGGAAGAGACCAGCCCTTGAGAGCAAGAGCTGTGATAACACTACCCCCACCCCTCCCTCAGTCCCCACATTTGGCTGCCATGGTTCAGCCCTGGGTGATGCGCACCCCCAAGCCAGCACATACCTGTCCTACCAGCTTCCTTGGGCTCCTTCAGAAGTGTTGGGTCCAAGGCTCCTATCTCCCAAGCCCCCTCCCTTCCCCACCCACCAGCGCCCCTATCTGGAAGAACAGAGGGCAGACCAGCCTACTGAGGGCTCTGTGAGAGAGAACCTGGGCAAGCAGGGTGGGACTTGGAAGCTGGGAGAAGAGCCCAGGCACAGCCTCTGCCTCCTTCCAGCCCCAACCCTCTGCCTCCTTCCAGCCCCAACCCTCTGCCACCCACCCACAGGCTACGAGGCCCTGGCCGAGGCGCCGTGCCCCACAGCACTGCCACCACAGCCATCTGAAAACATGGTGTCCAGTGGCCCTGAGGACTGTGGCTTCTTCCCCAATGGGGCCTTTGACCACTGCCTGAGTCACATCCCTTCCATCTACACGGACACCTGAAGGAAGGCCCCACAGCACCTGCCCATCCTCCATCACGTACACTGCTCCGCCCACTTGCCGCCTGGCCCCACCCCTTCGTGCTGCTGGGGCAGCCAGACCGAAGCTCTCCACAGCACGTTGAGGCCGCCCAGCATTCCCCTGGGCCGCCTGCCTTCCTGCCACGTCAGCAGCCACCAGAGCCCCGGGCTGGCACTCGGAGGTGCCATCAGGATCCGTGACTCTTTGGATATTTCCTTGGTTGTGCCTTCTGTTTCTTCCCTCTCTGGTTTTGAAATCACAGACCTCGTGTATATAAAGTGTACAGAACTTGTTTCCCATTCCTTGCCAGTTTTATATTTTTGGTTTTACAAGAAAAAAACATTAAAAACTGGAAACTAGACAGGGGCCTAGTTCTGTATTGTGATTCAGCCTAAAGACGGTGACCAGGAGAAAGGCATCAGAGCCGCGTTTCCGGCAGGGGGCGAGGAGGGGCGTTGGGAAGTCCTGGGCCACATGGAAACCAACTCAGGCTCAGGGTTTGTATAATGGGTACGGGAAGCAGCATCCTGTGGCCTTCACTACATGCTGTGGGCCTTCCAGACACCAGCGCCAATCCTCAGGACAACGTGGCAATGTAGGTTTATCTTCATGGACAGATGAGCAGCCGGAGCTGGGAGGGGTTAAGCGGCTTGCTCCAGGCTCCACCAAAAACTAAAGCCAAAAACCAACCCTGCGTTCTGCACTAACTTCGCAGATGGTGGAAAACAAGCTACAAGCCTGACGCCAGTTGGGGCCTGGGCTTTGGGTGAATAGGGAATGTGACCGGAGGGAGAGACAAGCCTGCCAACTCATGGCAACCTTGTATGTTACAGAGCAGAATTGTGCTCCCTAGGGTTTTCAGGGCTGTGACCTTGGGGAAATAGATTGCCAGGCCTTTCTTTTGAGGCACCTCTAGGTGGATTCAAACCACCAACCTTTCAGCAACTGAGCACTTCACTGTTTAGACCACCTAGGGACTCACCCCAGTCCCCACAGTCTATGGGAGCCCAGATCCCTCTGCCCCAGACCCCCAGTTCACTGCACAAACTTCACACATGGTGGAAAATAAGCTACAAGCCTGGGGCCTGGGCTTTGGGGGAACAGGGAACATGGTGAGAGGGTGGGGCAGGCTTTCAGCACTGCAGGCTTAGAAGCCTCCTCAGGGGAAGGTCCCCTGCAGATTGGCCGTGGTGAATGATAGCACCCTTGGTCGAGAAAGCCCCGTGACACCATGGGGCCGAGGACCAGGAGAGTTCTTAGAGTACCAAGGCTCACATAGGTCTGCCTGCTTTTCCAGCGACCGGTACCAGCAACAGGCCCACTGGCCAGACCTGTATCCTATATAGGTCTACATCTTGTGTCTCCCTAAAGTCCCCTGGGGAAATTCCTGCCTCTTCACTGCAGAAGGGAAACAAAGGTCATGTTTACTGTGCACCTACTATGTGCGAGACCCTGTGATCCTGCATTGTCCTGCAGGAAACAGCCCCAGGGGGAGGTCTTATCATTCCCCTTACTGTAAAGAGAGTAGCCAGGATTCAAACCTGGGTCCAAGAGATACCTCTCACCTACATGGTTGGATTAGATAGCCATAGTGAGTCACAGCGATAGATCTAATCAACTCCCTGCTCAGAGAGACCTCCCAGCGAAGTAGTGAAAGAACAGGGCTTGAACCCATGATACTTAGTATACCCGTATTCTCTGTTGCCCCTCCAGGTCCACACTCACCACCTCTACCCCGGGGACAACCTGTGTGGACTGCATCCAGGGGCTCTCTTCCCCTTAAGGAGCTCAACATGAGATGGGGGGCAGTCCTCACAGGTGGTCTATGTCCTCCACTGAAGGTCTCAGCTCTGATCAAGCTGCCTTCTCCACCAAGTCAACTTTCTCCAGGTTCCTATAGCAGCTCCCTTTTCCATCCTTCAAGGATGGGGGTGGGGTCTGGAGGAGTGGTTCCCACTGTCACTGAGCCTTGTACCCTGCCTGAATCTTTGTAAGTAATCCCTTCCTTCAAACCAGTTGCTCTTGAATTGATTCCAGCGCAGGCTCCATAGGGTTTTTAGCAACTGATATTTCAAAAGTAGATTGCCAGGCCTTTCTTCAAGGTACCTCTGGATGAACTCAAACTTCCAACCATTCTGTTGGCAGCCAACCACATAAACCATTGGCACCACCCAGGGTTAAACTCTAATTTGAGAGAACCATCTGTTTTCTGCCAGACCCTGACTGGTGGTAGCACTAGTCCCGTTATTACAGAAACTGAGGGACAGTGACGTTAAATCACTTGCCTAGGGGACACAGCCAGCAAGGGGAGATTTGGGGTTCAAACTTGGGCTCCTGGCTCTAAATCCCATGCTCTCACCCACTGTACTTTCCAACCCCCTGAAGTCTCAGGGGCCACCTGCCTGGCTGGCTCCCACCTCCTGTCCCAGACTTGCTGGCTTCCCAGAACTAACCCAATCCAAGCCCCAAATGGGGAATGACTGACACAATGTCACACGGCACATCAGAGTCCGGGATGAGGACCCAGGGCTTCTGATTCCCACCCAGGGTCCCCTCGATTCTCCCTCCCATCCCCCACTGATTTTATGGAAATAATTAGTTCATGGTGAAATTCCTTTAACAGGGATGCTCAAGAATCAATACTGCATGTCATTGTAAGCTCTTAATCCATTCCAGATAAGCAGAATTAAGCTGTACAATGAGGACATATTTCTATTAATAATGAAAAGGGCTGGGGCCATGAGCATGGGAACACACAGGGAGCTGGCAGTTGGATCTCATTTAATTTCAGAGAGACAGAGAGGGAGAAAAGGAGACACAGGGAAAGAGGAACAAAGAAAGAGACAGCGATGAACAAAGGCAGACACGAATGAGCCAAGATGAGGGCGGACGCCGAGCCTGGCACACAGTAGGGCCCAGCCAGTCGCCGCTTTCATCTCTACTTGTGAGTCCTCTCACCCCAGCTGGGGGACTCTGGCAAATCATGGCCTCCTCAGAGCTCCTGTTCCTCATCTTGGCACACTTGGGGGACCCTCCCACCTTGATGCCCACAGTGTCTCTCTTAATCTCAGCAGCAAGAAGATTTCCTGGGTTATGACCCATTGAGGGACTGAGTGTAAGCCCCCTTCCCCGGCCAGTTTCGCTGTCACCCCCTGTTTAGAAAACAAGAACCACAGCCCCACTGCTGAGCACTGACCATGTGCCAGGACTCTGCAGCCAGGAGGCCACGGGCGCCCCACCACCATCATGACAGGGGATGTTGTGGCCTCTCCCCTAATTGTCACACAAGGAAGGCTAGAGGGTTTAGGTGAGTGGGTGGATGTTTCTCCCAGGCCTAGAGAGCCCCTGAGGACAGGGCCACAGGTAGCTGGGAACCCTACAAAGCCTGTTGAGCAAATGAAGCTGAGTCATCCCCAGGGACCCTCAATGGGGGGCCCAGGCTACCAGTGCCCACACTTGCCAGGTGACGATGCTGCCCTTCCAGCTCAACTAGCCAGATCACCCGTGGCTTCAGCCTCTGTCTGGTCCAGGCCAGGATCCTCTCAGTTGCCTTCTCTGTGTCTCCCTCAAGGCGCCTTCGGCCTCCCTCTGCCCCGCCTCCCTCTGCCCTCCCTCTCACTGCCTGCCTTCGCCCACTGCCCCCCCCCACATTCCCTGCCACAGTTCTCTTGCTGTCCGCCCTCCCCTCTCCCTTCCCTCTCTAACCCCACCTCTCTGCCTTGACCCTCTGCCCCTCCCTCTCCCCCTTCCAACCCTCCCTTTCTCTGGCCCTCCCGGTCTTTCTCTCCTCTTCCGCCATTTTTCTTTCTTGCTCCAACAATGTGTGTGAACATCCTCTTAAAGTTACGAGGTGCCGTCTAATACAGGGACATCGTTCTTCCCTCCCCCCTTGCTCTCCTCCTTTCTTTTCTCTCTTATTCTGTGGCCCAGAGATAGACAGTGACTTGCCCAAGGCAATGTAGAGCATTGGATGGCAGTGGGGGAGGGCAGAAGGGGGAAGATCCCAGAGGAGTCCTGGTGGGAGAGGCCCTAAGGAGCAGGGCCCATTCTCACTGGCTCCCCTCAACCACTGGCCAGGGGTCTCTGGCATAAATGTCAGACATTAGGGCTTGCCCTTCTGCTCCTCACAGCCAGGCCCAGGGTTCTCTTAAGCCTGGGCACAGGGATTATTCAAGCCTGGACCCACTCTCCAGGGACTCCCTTATCTCCCCATTCTCTGTTCCCACTGGCCCTTGGGGACCCCCATCTGTTGTCACGGGTCATAGTCAGTTAGGGCTGAGCAGGCCCAGTGAGGCTATCAGCGCATCCCTACCCCCACTCACAGATGGGGAAACCCAGTCCCAAAAAGATTCTGCTTCCAGGACCCCTCCAAGCCTAACAGAGAAGAGGGTTTATGCCTTAGGATGTCCCCTTGGCTTCATACTGCTGTGTAGGGAAGGGATTATTGTGGTCAAAGACCTAATCTGTCCTGCTCACTGCTGACTGCCCAGCTCCTAGAACAGCCCCTGACACACAGGACCGAAACCCACCGCCATCGAGTTGATTCCGCCTCATGGTGACCCTGTAGCACAGAATGGAACTGACCCGTAGGGTTTCTACGGCTGTAAATCTTAATGGAAGAAGACTGCCTCATCCTTCTCCCACGAAGCGGCTGGTGGGGTTGAACCACCAACCTTTTGGATAGCAGCCAAATGCTTTAAGCATTACACCACACAGTAGGTGCTCTATAACTCTTTGTTCACTAGATTAAGTGGAGCAGGAGAAACTGGAGTGAGGAAACAAGAAACTATATCCACAGAACTTTGTGCAAGAAGTTAACTCAGTCATGCTGTCCAAACCCTTGTTTTCCAAACGAGGAAACAGGCCCTTGTCCTGAGTTACTGAGCAGGTCAGTTACAGGAGGGTGGAGAATCCCAGCCTCCTGTCTGCCTCCCCACCCCCATACTCTGTCCACTCCATCCTTTCACTCTACCCAAAACCTCATGCATTCCACAAGTCCCCTGAAAAATG